TAAATAATATTTTGAAGCACAGATATAGGCAATTCTTTACTGCTTTCTGCATTTTGTAGAGTTATTTTTCAGCTATGATGAGAATAACACTGAAGTTGAAAGAAAACATTTTGGAAGACTGCAGTGCTAAATGATTTCTGCCCCCCCCCCAAAAAAACCCGGTTAAACCGTAGCAATCAGTTGACAAAGAGCATCCTTACCTTTATCTTTCCTGGATGAAATCAGGTTTATGTCTGGGTGAGCATTCTTAGTAACGAGGCCAACATGTATAATAAAAAACTATTCTAAGTGTGAGCAAGTGTATAGATCAGAGGTGTCAAGCTCGATTCCACTGAGGGCTGCATCAGGGTTGTGTTTGACCTCAGGGGGCCGGAGTGGGTGTGTGGATGGGGTAGGTGTGGCCAGCTCAACGTCAATCGTTTTGGAGGTTCCTGTGGTGGCCCAAATGCTGTGCCAGTGAAAACGGGCTTCTGGGCTCCATTTTCACCTGCAACAGCCTCCTGCAACCCCTGCCAGCGAAAACGGAGCTCGGGAGGACCAACATGCAGCCCTCCTGAGCTCCATTTTCGCTGGCAGAGGCATCGCAGGTCAGTCCTTCGCTGTTTCCATGGCAGCCCGGCAAGCCAGAGCTAAGCACCCCTCGGGCCCTGAATTTGACACCCCTGGAGTAGATTCTAGCAGGCCTCAAGACTCATTATTCACCGGGGAGAAAAAAACCACACTGTTCAAAAAGAATAATGTAAAACTATTTGCTTTTTAATTGAAAATACACCTACAAAGTAATATTTCTCAAGCCACACCCTGGGTGCATCAATTGCCAACTCAGAATAGGCACCAAAGAGAGAATATTCTATGGCTCATGATTTCTGTAAGAAACAGAGTTAGTATAAAGTTAAAGAACTGTCACCCTTTGTAATACCATTTTCTCCTAAAGTGACAGCACGGAATGATAGTCCTTTACATGAAAATCTTTTCAGCCCCTTTCCAAAAATAGTATCCTTTCAAAAGCAAACCACAGTAAAAGTTATTCCATACAATTTAATATTAACTTTGTACACATTACAGTACCGCTATAAAAATATCTCTAGTTACATTTCAGAAAACACCAGTCTCTAATCTAGATTTTCTTTTTGTTAGCGCAAACAAGAAACAAATAATTAAAAAAGGCACATCCATTTACTGCGTAAGTCAGAGATTACATAAGAGCTTTGCATTACTTTAAACACCATCAGACACACTGAGTTAATTCCTATTCTTTTTCCAAGGAGAAGCTAAGCGAGTGTCCTGCCTACTTACTTTCACCATTCAGAGACTGTCACTACAACAGAGGAGATATTCTTCCGGTTCGCCCCGGTTCAAGTGAACCAGTAGTGGCGGTGGTGGGAGGCTCCGCCCTCCTGCCCAGACATCATCACGGACCAGGGATGGGTTCCATCAGCCGCTACTGCCAGTTCTCTAAGGGACGTGCCATGCACACATGCTTGATGCACACAGCGTGCACATGCACGGTACAACAAAAATTGCTGTGCATGCGCAAAAGAAAAAAAAACAAGATGGAGGCGTCATCAGAAGAAGCAGTTCTGGGGCATGGCAGGCCTGGGTCACTGCCGGTTCCAGTGACCCAGGCCACCAAGTTACTACTGGTTCGGCTGAACAGGTAGGAACCCACCACTGTCACGGATGCTGTGCACATGCACAGAAGGTTCTGCACATGTGTAGAAGCGCCGCAGGGGAGCGCTCCGGTTCTGAACTGGGAGCGAAGGTAAGAGGATTTTATACCTGCACTACAACCTCAACAATTCCCAAATTTTAAATCTTTGAGGGTTTTATTCACCTGTTGCACTTTTAAGATAATCCTCAATGTGTTTCAGAAACTTCAAGCCAGCTTTTTTTGTGTGTGTGTTATCAGTTTGACAATGTCCCTCAAAAGGCGCCATTGAGCAACAGCAAGAATCTAGGGTAGTGGTGGTTTTACCTCTGGAAAGGGCATTATTGCTATCATGTGGAAGTGTATCATTCTCGCATTTGTTATATAGTCTGGAACAGATCTTTATGGCCTCTGGGCCACATCTGGCCCTTTGGCTGTCCCTGTCCAGCTCAAATGAGATCAATTGGAAATTAGAAATGAAATGTAAATAAGTATATGCCAAGCACGCAATACAACTTCATTGCTGTTATTTTGAGAGTGGCTGCTATTTTCGTCCCCAGTTTATGTATGTCCATGCGGGCATGCCTACACACTTTCACAGGCCTATTGGGTAGGTCCTTCCACAGGCCTTTTGGTTCGTCTGTTTCTCACGTGGCCCCTTGGGAAAATTAATTGCCCATCCCTGGCCTGGAACATGACAGGAGGCATCCAGTGGAAATACAGGCTTGTGAGTGGTTTGTGGTTCATGTTAGGATTATTGGATCTGGGTTATAAAAATCCACAATGAAAACAAAGAAGTATACAAAATTCCAACTCTTTGCTGCTGTCTCGTGATTGTCTGGATTTCCACAGCCCAGATAAGGCAGGCCTCGCTTATGTTAAATCTACTTAGAAGTGAGGAAAGGCTCTTCACTAGCCATAATGAACAGACTGTTCGTTAGTAAACTACTTCCATTGAGAATTATTCCACGAGTAGGCAAAAGGAATAGAAATTGAGAGATTAGAAAAGCACAAGGGAGCCTATTCCCCTTTATTAAGCAATATAGTATAGTGTTTACTATACTGGTTTATAAAGGGGAGAGGGGATGGATAGTAAAGATCTATTGTAAACTCTGAACAGCAGCTGATGAAAAATGAGTTGGTCTGCTATAAGCCTGGATAAATAAATATAATTCCCACATTTGATCGTCAAAACTCAGAAACCTAAACCTTTCCCCCTCAGACCAGCAGTTTACTTAAGATTTCAACACTGAATCCGAGAATTCGATTGTAAATCATCTCTCTTTTAATCTGCCTAGATTTGTCTGTAGTGTTTGGTGGCTCTGAATCTAACTGAGAGATTGAACCTTGAAAATGTTTTTTGTTTCATCAGACAATGCCAGCTACCTTAGTTTAAACTGGATAATGTCAAATTTTACGTGAAATAACCATTTTGTAGAAATAAAATAAAAAAATCAGGGCATAACCGCAGAATTCTGAGGATTAGCCAGGATGAAACGTAGCTTTCGGTAGTCTTACAATCTTGGGAAACAAATGAATGAACCTTGAAATATCAGATTGGCAGCTATAAGGAATAACTCAGTCCTATTTTACAAAGATGCTATTAAAATACTGTTCCAACAACTATACAACCAATGTATGTTTATATTTACACCATCCTATGAAGTCAGACTCTTTCAAACATGGGACTCGCTCCCATTATTCCTGACTAGCAGAAAAAGGAATAATGGTTTAGGAGCCCCATATCACGGGTGGGATTCTACAGGTTCGGCCCGGTTTGGGCAAACGGGTAGCTCCAAAGATCAGCTATGGTTCGCTCCAACCTTCAGGTAGGCCTGTCCTATAGGCTATACTCACCTATATTTCCTGGTTTTTTAGCCCAGCTGACAGGCACGGCAATCCACTCTGTTTTCCTGTGACTGTGCACATGTGTGCAGCACATGGAAGGCATGTAAGACGTGTGCACGCATGCTCAGCGAACCGGTTGTTAAGCTGGTAGGATCCCATCCCTGTCTCCACATATGGAACGTTACCATATGGAACGTAACAGGTCACAAAGGCTAATCTCTTCCTTCAAGCATCCCATTGCAGAGATTATTCTGCTTGCCTAAAGCTTTCCTTCCTGTCTCCCGTGACCATGCATGCAAAATATTATTTAAAAATCTAAATTTTTAAAAAAATAAACGAGCTCTGTGAAACAGCAAGCTTCAAATGGACAAAAATCACAATCTCATCCCAATTTTTGTTTTTTTAAAAAAACTGTCCTTTCTTAGTCCCGAAGACCTCTTTTTAAAAAAGGGTCTTTTATATTTTCGATATTTATTAAATGTTTTCATTATTCTCTTTATATACTCTTTCTCTTAATAAAAAACAATCAAGCACCAGGTTAGTATTATTTCTATACACAGTCATCTCCTCTCTGTGTGAGCAGGGTCTATCAGATGGATGCTGCTAACATGGAGAAAGTGGTAGTGGAATAGAAAGTTTAGTCTTTAAACCAGTTTTTTAAAAAAATGTATTTAACCAAATTTTGGAAGACTCCCCTTCCTGAAAGCATTTTTGACTCTGTAGTTTCACTGTGAAAGAACAAATGTAGGCGAACCTTGTCATGTTTTGTAGGCACTGCTGTCTAGAGTTCCATCTCTATGTCCATATTTAACAGCGTCAAGAGATTCCCAAATCTTTTCTGCTACAGCAGGGGTGTCAAACTCGATTTCATTGAGGGCCACATCAGGGTTGTATTTGACCTCAGGGGGGCAGGTGAGCGTGGCAAGGGTGGGCGTAGCCAGATTGACATTACTTGAGGCTCCATTTCTGGCCATGATGGCCTCCTGCAGCCCTCTGCCAGTGAAAATGGAGCCCGGGAGGCTGCCGTTGTGGCCGGAAATGCAGCCCAGGAGGCATGCATATGCCCCCCCCCCCACAAGCTCTGTTTTCGTTGGCAGAGGCACCATGGGCCAGTCCTTTGCTGTATCCAGGGTGGGCCTGCGGGATGATCTAAGCAAGCTGTGGGTCGCATCGGCCCACAGGCCTTGAGTTTGACACCCCTATGCTAGAGAGTTATACACAGGGATTGGCAGACAATTTAGCTGCAGAAGTTTAATTTAAACTCATAGTAGCTATAATTGCAGACAGTATAAATTACAAATTGATACAGGTAGTCCTTGATTTACATTCACTCATTTAGTGACCATTTTTCACACAACCATTACAGCCTCTCCATGGTCATGGGATCAAAATTTGGATGCTTGGCAACCAGTTCATATTTATGACGGTTCCATTGTCCCAGGATCATGTAATCACCTTTTGCGACCTTTTGACAAAGCAAAGTCAATGGGAAAGCCAGATTCACTTAACAACCATGGTACTAAATTGACAATTGCAGTGATTCACTTAACCACCGTGACCAGAAAAGTCATAAAATGGGCTAAAACCCACTTAACAGATTATCACTTATCAACATAAATTCTGGGCTCAATTTTGATCGTAAGTCAAGGACTACATCACTAGAAGAAAGAACTTTGGGGAGAGCCATTCCTACACAACAAGGAAGGACAAATCAATCCTAATTTTTAGCACATTCCTGGTGGCTTGCCTTTATGTGCAATCAAGAATTGTGGTTTAAAATAACTTGCAATCTATTATTAAATAAACTATATCACAGCAAAGTCTCGTGTTTTTTGCTAGGTTATAGTAAGTTTCTTTTCAGCTTCAATCTCTAGTTCCTATATAACAAGCAAGCAAGCAAGCTGCTAAGAGAAAAAGAATCCCAATTTATTTCTTAGTGTGATCATAACAGATCACCTCTGTGTGAGCTACCTCTTTGCTTTTGAGATCTTTTTGCTCATCTGTATAAGGATGGCTTAGCATTGCGCATAACGCCCAGCAAAGCCTGCCTGGAAACAAGGGATTTTTATTTCATTTGGGTTGTTTTTAAAATATGGATGTTTTAGAATTCATATCTAGGTCTTTAGGTTGCTAAATTCAATTCAGGAGAGTTGCAATGGTGATGATGAACTGTTCGATTAAATGTTTGCCAAAAATTCTAATTGGCTGAAAGTTGGTTTCTCTTTCATGTAAATTTAAGTTGGGTGTATGTTTGTTTGTTTGTTTGTTTGTGTGTGTGTGTGTGTAGGCTAAGGATCTTCAACAAGATTCTTAATGTCAGACTAAACTATAATTCCCATGACTGATTGGAAATGCCATATGGATATAAATCAGCGAGGATCTCAATTCCCATTGAAAACTCAGTGGTAAATTGAAATTTAAGTCAGGACAATTTATGAACCACGGTAATCTTCCTGGAGCCTAAATGTTTATAATCCCCCATATTTACAGTTTCTGTAGGAAGCAAAAGCAGTTACTTTCTGAAAACTATATATGATGAACGGGTTATAATTTATCTAAGCCTCACTAGATTAAATCAGAAGAATATTTACAGTTGTTTGATCAAATAATGACATCACAATTGCCGTGATAGCAATAATTCAATATGCCCATACCAATGAAGCAGCTAAGATAAATTTCCTGTTCCAAAGTGCATATGTTTTTAAAGTGTGTGCATTTGATCTCTGATCCTGGAAAGAAAAAACAGTGTGTATGAGTAGCAGTATTTGTGCTAAATACTATCATCTAAAAGAGAGTCATAATGTTACACATAGACAGAGGTATTTGCAGGTTTGTGATATACAAAATCAATGGGATTTGAAGGTGCACAGTACCAAGAAGCACAAGCCTCTTTCTGATACTAAAATATCCCATTGGTTAGAAATGAACACATGATTAGTAGTTTTTGCTTAATTCATAAATATAATGACCTGTGGGAAATACGATTCACTTATTTCATTCTTTAGGGGGAAAAATGTATTCGTACTTGTGCTGATCTAACAGCAATGAAATAAGGTAATGCTATCTTTTTAAAAAAAGAAATAAAAATCTGCTATTAATTTCTCTCGGAATAGCATGAAATGTCAAAGGTTGACTTGATGGTGCTAAGAACATGTAGCATTTGAGCAAAATGGAACCTCTTTCAGGATTTCTTCTGTTTGCTATTTCAGCTTATATTAAATGAGATCACATTAACAGGATAAAGAAATATATTCTTGAATAAGCTTGCTAATTTGATAAAATATTTATCACCCATTAAAATGTTGCATATCACTTTGTGTAACGCCTATATTTTTTTAATGGCACATAGCCACGAATTTGGAATATTTTTCACCAATTTTGAAAAATGCGCAGCTCAGCTCCTCACTATTTTCTCCTGCACAGATTATGCAGCCTTCTTCAGCCAGATGTCCCCCAGATGTAGTGGATTATGACTTCCAGAATTCTAACCAGCATGTCTGCTGCATGTTTCCTAAGAATTCTGGGAGTTGTAGTTTCACACCAGGAAGGCATCAGGCCAGAGAAAATATGTCTAGGTAAACACAATATGAGACATGGTAATACTGTGCTTTGCTTTGCCTTCCTCTGGCCTTCCTTATGGGAAGGAACAAGGCGAGGCATGTGGAGCAACAGCCTGCTGTTGTTCATTGCTCTAATCTATCACAAGGCAAAGGAGACAGGTCACACACTCTATGTGTCTCGTAATATCTAGTTCATCCTTAAATCTTTTCAGTGCTTTGAGAGTACAAGAAGAAATGAGGAACAAGCAGAAGGACCAAAGAAAGTGTACATTTTCCATATCTCTAGTGCTTTGTGTCAACTTTCCTCTACCTTACATCTTGGTTTCACTGTCTACGGGCTTTTCATTCTCACTCTCTTGTGAAATCAGGTGATAAGGCTTCTTCATTTCATTCTCCTCAATCACGGAGTTGCCCATTTCAGCATCCTTGTTCCGTAACTCATGGCGGGATAAGTGTTCGACAATTCCTGCACCAATGGAGTCTCCCAAAACGTTGGTAGTAGTGCGCAGACGATCCCTGGGGAAGACATTGCAAATTAAGTAAACCAGTCATTGTTTAACAACATAGTGAAAGTTTTCACTAGAAGATATAACTCAAGTCCACATTCTTTCCTTAAAATTATATTGGCAATATAATAACATGTGCTTCAATGTTTACACAGTAGTAAAGAGAAAATGTTACTGGGCTGATGGGGAAAATAAATAAATAGTGAAACGAAATAACAGCCATATTTAAAAATTAAATATCAGTTCCAAGAAGGAAGAACACACAGGGGTTTTGTAACATTCATGTTTTCTTTGGGGCCTCTTTCCTTCTCACATAAGGAGATTCAAGCTAACTTGTCACAAGCACAGTGCACTCACTACCTGACTCTGTGGTTTCATCCCCAAACCCCAAAACGTTAACCTTAGACTGTCTACTGTTGACCTCACCCCATTCCTAAGAGGTCTTTAAGGGGTGTATGTAAGTGTACCAACATGCCTACTGTCCCTGTCCTACTGTCCCTACTTATTCATATCCATTTCATAATCATGTTTATACTTATATCTGTTATCTTATACATGCTTGACAAAATAAATAAAAAATAAAAGCTGCAGCATTGGAAAGGGTTCATTAAAAAAAAAGAACAGGGAAATTAAGGCTTGCATGCTGAAAATACGGTTGCTGGTGAGACTGAATAATGCATCTTTTAAAAAACTACAGCTTGGAAGGTGAACAGAGATTGAATAACTTTAATACCTCTGCCCCCAAAATCCTCATCACTATCCTATTTCTACTCTTCTTTTTGTATAAGATGACAGTTTGACATTTGTATGCAACGTAACCAAGTATTGTTTCAAAGAGACCCAATACATTTCTTCAGGAAAGGAACTACAATGGCATTTGGTTTCCACTTGTCTCTTTAGTCTACTTCATATAGAGAAATACTCACAGAAACCAATCCACCGCAATGATAAGTGTTATGTCATCTGTAGGCAAACCAACAGAGGTTAATACAATCACCATTGTGACCAGGCCGGCTTGAGGAATTCCCGCTGCACCAATGCTGGCAGCTGTTGCGGTAATACTGTTACAAGGAAAGAGATATAAAACCAATCATATTGTCATTTTTATTTTTTTAAAAACATGTCCTTATGTCATAAAACTCTTTCAGCCTTGAAGAAGTTGTTGGCTAGAGTCTTTGTTGGAATCAGTTGCTAGTTTGCACAATCAAGTCTTTCCCCTTTCATTTCTCTTACAAGAAAACGTGATGCTTAAGCTAGATAAGCCATCCATGTATTCAGCTTCATGAGTTAGATTAGTCTTCCCCAAGCTGGCATTTTCTAGATATCTTAGATGTTCAGATTGTGATCCATCCTTCCTCCTTCCTAATTTCCTTCCTTCTTTCTTCCTAACTTCCTTCCTAACTTCCTTCCCTTCCTTCCTTCTTCCTTCCCTTCCTTCTTCCTTCCCTTCCTTCTTCCTTCCTTCCTTCTTCCTTCCTAACCCTTCCTTCCTTCTTTCTTCCTAACTTCCTTCCCTCGCTCCTTTTTTTTGTCAAGTTTTTAAAATTTATATATAAATATTTTGAATACAACGTATTGTATTTTTAAGTTGTAAGCCGCCCTGAGTCACCCCAGGGAAAAGGGCGGAATATAAATAAACTTAAATAAATAAATAATAAATAAATAAAATAAATTGTCCGGGCATACCATTTCTACAAAAAGGAAAGGAAAAAAAGATAACACATATACTGATACCAATAATAATAATGTAACAAAATAATTCTAACCACATTTATAATTATATTCGCTTATTTATGTTCCTAATAAATATATTGGCATACATATCAGAGGTGGGTTCCTACTGGTTCGGACAGGTTTGGCTGAACTGGTAGTGGTTTGCCGGCCTGCGTTACCAGAACTGGCAGCGGCCCAGGCCTGCCATGCCTCCGAACCAGTTCCCTGATTGGTGTGGCATGTTTTTATAATCATTTTTAATGTTCTGTACATGCGCAGAACTATTTCTTGGCAGCTGTGCAAGCGTAAGGAGCAAAATTGCACGCGAACCGAACCGGCACTAATGCCGGCAGCAATTCACCCAATACATATAATTATAAACAATATTCATATTTTACTTAAATATAGTACTCTTTCTTCATCTAATTTCTACCTTCCTTACTTCTATATTACTCTAAAAGCAATAATTAGCAGAATAGGAAGAAGACCTGCGGTCTATGTAGCTGTCTCAATCTGGATTAGGTCTCGATATTATAATTTGCATTGCAAACATGAAATATTCTGTGATTTCTGAATTGTTCATGACCTCCTTACTTTATCATCCTCCTGTCCCCCTGTGTTACCGTGCACTCCACTCAGAAATGCCCCTCATTTCAACTTTTCTAGCTTTATTTCCTTGTATAGGTATACAAGGATATATATTTTTTGCAGGGTTTACAAACCTGATAGTGATAATTTGCCCAAAGTTTAGATCCATATTGTTAACCTGTGCAATGAAAATTGCAGCCAGGGCTTCATACAAAGCTGTCCCATCCATGTTAATAGTTGCACCGACAGGCAGGACAAATCTCGTAATGCGTTTGTCCACTCCATTGTTCTCTTCCAAACACTTAAAAGTGACAGGCAAAGTGGCAGAACTGAAATCAGAAAAAAAACAAGAAGATACCATTAGTATGTATGTATGTATGTATGTATGTATATGTGTATGTGTGTATGTATGTATGTATGTATATATGTGTGGTGGGTTCTGGATCCCATTCCAACCAGTACGGTTGGAACGGGCCCGGTGGCGTCCACATGGACGTGCATAGCACACATGCATGCGTCTTAGCGCCTCCGTGATGTTCCAGCGGCTCAGCGGAGCGTCGTGCAACGCTGTACACGCCGTGCACATGTGTGGAAGTGGCGAAGACTTAAAGGACCAGTAAGGACAGGTGGGCCCTCCGGAGTACCATACCGGAATGGTATCCGGTGCTCTGGGCAGGCTCCGGTATGCCCGTACCAGGGCGTACCACCTGCAACCCACCATTGGTATGTATGTATGTATGTATGTATGTACAGAGAGAGAGTTTGTTCATATAGTTAACCTTCGGACAATGCTCCAAATTTGAGGGAATCTATACCCAATTTGGATTCCTGATATATATTACGAAAGACCATACAATACAGCTAGATCATGCATGGTGCCTACATATTTTCAATGCCTTTCATTTCATTGATGTCTGTCTAACCTGGAGACATTACTAGGCTAAAAGATATATCTTTGTCTTCAAAGAAAAACAAGCAATTCAGTTGCCTCTTGAAAAAGCACCTTTGGGGCCAGAATGACTGAGAATCTATATAGACATCTGTAGATAAGCTGAACCCAGTTTGGGGGGGGGGTGTATGTATTTTGGGACCTATTATGCTTGGCTGATGCATATGTACAGGCAGTATATACACAGTAAAAACTCCTGTATCCCAAGCTACTTGATTGTGAAAACCTACCTTGAGGAAGTTCCCAAAGCTGTGATGAGAGCTTGCAACAATCCTCCAATAAAGACCCAAGGATTTTTCCGAGTAATGAAGAAGTAGAGAAGTGGGAGAACAATAATTGCATGGATGAGCAAACCAATGATAACAGTAACTGTATACATGGCTAGCTGGCCTCCAATCACACCCATATCTTCCATCTCAACAATTTTCCCAGCAATTAAAAACAAAATACCAAGTGGTGCATACCTAGAAAAAAAGAAAGATAAAGAGAGACAGGGAGAGTGAGAGAGAGACAGAGAAAGATAAATGCATTGCTTTGTAACTATCCTGCAAGTCTACTTGTGTGTAATGTATCTTTATTCTCTTGCACTTGGAAGTTTATTGCTGCACTCTATATATACAGAGACTGTGACATTAAATATATTGTCCCCAGTATGTTTTTGTATATTATAATATCTGGAGATCCTTTGGATGAAAAGCAGTCAATGAACCAAAAGGGAAGTCTCTCTGAACTCAATAGAATTTATTTTTAAAATGAATGCTGCAAATTAGTGGCAAACAAAGGAGAATATGAAGATACCAATTTATTATGGACAGACTTTAATCGTGGGTGGTGTGTTTTATTCCAAAATATGTTTTTTTTTAAATAAATACTTTTTAAATTTTTTCATCACATTCTAGTTATCTATTATTTTGATGAAATAATGAATTCTGAAGCCAGTTACACAAGATCTTGTATAGTATGGCTGTAATTCAGTCTATAAATAGAGTACCGAATTAAACTAACTCTGCCCAAATATAAGAACTAGGCGGCTTGTTAGTGATACTGATTTTTTTTAAATTCAGAATTTATTTTAGCTTCATATTTCTAGTCTTATATTCCAATAGAGACCATCATAAATTCCTATTCTAAGAACCCCTGTTTTTGCTTCCTGCTGTTATAATCGCTTTTGAAACAACTGTGTGAAGATTCTTCATTTCTTCCCTACTAATCACTCATCAAAACTGAGTTCCTACTTACACTTTCCCCCATCTAGAGTCCTCCTGATTGTTTGGAATTCAAATCCCAGAATTCTTAGTCAGTGTAATCATGCGAATCAGGGAAGTTTAGGAAATGATCCGAGACTTTTTACTGGTTTATTGTTTTTAGTTTTTATGGTTTTATTCGTGATTGTAAACTGCCCAGAATTTAGTTTAAGATATACAGCTGCACAAATATTGTATACAAATTAAATAAATAAAATTAAGACATCATGTACAGGAATGCTGTTATCCTATAACTTTGCTTAAGTAGGCATCACTGGAATACTGTACATTCTTCTTCCTTCTTTTCCTTCAATATTTTCCTCTTCCTTTTCTCCATTATACACCAATCTTGAAATACAGACCATCAGACTTTCAGGCTTTTAATATAATATCATGTAAAGTGATAGCCCTGTCATGATTAATAAGAGTAATTAATAAAGGACCAGTATGGCTTTGATTAAATGGAAAGTTCTGTTGGACACGGACTTTCTTCAGTGTTGCCAATATGGATGGGAGTAAATTCCGTTTTGAAGATGAGCAAGTATATTCATAATTTTGCTAAATTTTACTGTATCTCCCAGAATCCTTTATAGCAATAGCAATCAGATTTATATACCGCTTCACAATGCTTTACAGCCCTTTCTAAGCAGTTTACAGAGTCAACCTATTGCCCCCAACAATCTGGGGCCTCATTTTACCAACCTCAGAAGGATGGAAGGCTGAGTCAACCTTGAGCCTGGTGGGATTTGAACTGCCGAACTACAGTTAGCAGTCAGCTGAAGTAGCCTGCAGCGCTGCACTCTAATCACTGCCCTGTACCACCTGGGCTCTATATAGTTCTTGGGACAACTGAAAGTTTGTGTTCAGCAACATCTGAAATGTCACAGGTTCCCACTCCTCATTAGCTGAATTGGAGTACAGCTAAAGTGACTTGGAATCATTTCCAGGTTCTTTTTGTTCAAAATCTGGAGGAAGATGACAGAAGTTATTGGTGAGGAATGAGAATATCCATTTCACAAGATAATGCACCATATGGGAATTCAGCAATTCTTAGAAAAAGGACTCTGAGTTGATTCCCGGATTATCCTTTCATTTCATATATATGGATCCCCTATGATCACAGAAAGGAAGAGGCAATCAAGTCCATTTCCCTGCACATTAGAGGATACGTCTTCTTTTTCTTTCCATTCAATTGTGCCCCATTCTTGGAGACTGCCTGGACAAGTCCCTGCAGATTTTTTGGCAAGGTTTTTCAGAGGTGATCTGCCATTGTCTCCTTCTTAGGACTGACCCAATTGACTTTGTGCTCAAAGCAGGACTACAAGTCATGATCTTCCAGTTTCTAGCCTGGTACCTCAAACACTATACCAAACTGGCTCTCAAGATTCATTAGGTAAGTGTAAAGGTTCCCCTCGCACATATGTGCTGGTCGATCCTGTTTCTAGAGGGCAGTGTTCATCTCCGTTTCAAAGCTGAAGAGC